CGTCGGCCGGGCGAGGAGGACGTACCCGGGGGCCCTGGGCCGGGAGGGGGCTGGATGGGGGGTACCCGGGGGGCCCTGGCCGGCCGGTCGGCGATACTGACCATGGCGCGCCCCGTGCGCTCCCCGCGCTCGGGCTCAGGCTGCTCCCCGTGCCGGGCGCTGGGGCTCGGCCCCCCATGGGCCGCAGCGACTCGGTCCCGCTAGACGCCTCCGGCCACCGGGCTGGACTGGAGCCGCTCACGCAGGACGGGGCCCCGCCAAGGGGGACGCCGAGACGCAGGCGGCGCCGGCCGGTGCCGGGCAGGGGAGCCGAGCCCCGCGCGACCGAGGCATGTCCGGACCGGGACCCCCCAATCTGCCCGGAACACCCCTAACCTGGCCTGGGGCACTCCGAACCCCGATCGGGGCTCCCATGCACCCCTGCCACGGGAATAACCCTGATTCCGCCTCGGACCCCCAATGCACCCCAAGCCAGGAACCTCCAGCCCAACTCCACCTGGAGACCCCCAAACCCACTGCGGACAGAGCCCACCAAGGGAGCCCGCAACCCTTACCCCACCTGGCCCCCTACAGCCCTGCATGGAGCCCCATACCACCACCCTGGGGAAACCCTCAACATCAGCCCCAGAAGAGGATCCCCTACCTGTGGGTAGTCCCTCATCCTCCCTGTCACCACACAGACCCTGCCCAGGGACCCCCCTCCCAACACACACCCTGTCCTATCCAGGGAACCCACACACACACCCTCTCACCCTGCCCTGACCAGGGATTGCCACACACACTACACCCAGCCTAGGGATCTCCCCCAACCCCAGATTAGGAATTCTCAGCCCCCACCCCTGCTTCTCTTTCTATCTCATCCCCCGCCCCCAGTTTCAGGCATCTGTAAAAAACCCCATGATCTATTCTCTGGCCCTACCAGAAAATGGTGCCAGGGAATGTTTCCCCAGGGTGCTGCCCCACATCTGGGGCCTGTCTCCCCCAGGGACCTTCACCCCAACCAGGAGACAACATAGCTCAGACCTCAGAGGGGAAATAATCTGGAATAAACTACAAAAGAGGAGAGCAGCAGGAGCGTGTTTGAAGTGGCAGGTGTAAGGAAGTGTCAGCTGAAGTAGTTTCCTGTTCAATGCTGTCTGACACCATGTTCCAGCTTCTTGCTGGTGCAAAATACATCACCTGGGACTTGCTCCCAACCCAGGCACTCTGGGTGAGAAAGGCAGAGGCACTCTGCTGAGAGACAGGGGTCCAACTGAAGCCGCTTTGTGCTTCGCCTCTGAGTTTGGCCCGGTCTGTGACTAGAATCAGTAAACAGCTTATGGCGTCTGTGTGGCAGTCGGTGGTGCGTCCCTTTAGAGCAGCCCTATCCATGGACAACCCAGAGAAAGCCTGAGCCCAAGCAGGCCTGTTGACAATGCAGACGTAACTGTCATGGAAATGAGACAATGTGGGAATATTTAGTAAATTTTTTATGAGTCCTGTTTCTGCCTTAGTTGTGCATTGTTACCCAGTGAGCGGAAGGGGGCTGTTTGCTCTCCAAGCAGGCAGAGATACCAGTGTGGGTATCATGTAGCTGTCTGGGCCTTAGTCTCCATATCAAGTAATCGGTCTTCACTGCTGAGGATGTGAGGGAGATTCCCAAACCTGAGACATTCTTTTTGGGTGACAGATCTGAGGAACTGTCCCAAATTGAGGTGTCCTTAGGGGAGGTTTTGGAACAAATTGATAAAATAAACAGTAATAAGCCTCCAGGATCTGATGGTATTCACTCAAGAGTTCTGAAGGAACTCAAATGTGAAATTGCAGGCCTACTAACTGTCATCTGTAACCTATCATTTAAATCGGCTTCTGTACCAAATGACTGGAGGATAGCTAATATGACACCCAGGAGCGGCGCCAGGGTTTTTGGCGCCCTAGGCGGGGGTCCTTCCGCGCTCCCGGGCTTCGGGGCACTTCGGCCGCGGGTCCCGGAGCGAGTGAAGGACCTGCCGCAGAATTGCCGCCGAAGACCCGGAGCACGGAAGGACCTCCCCCGCCGCCGAATTGCCGCCCCCCCAAATCCTGGTGCCCTAGGCAACCGCCAGAGGTGAGCCGGGCAGTTACAGGCCGGTAAGCCTCACTTCAGTACCGGACAAATTGGTTGAAACTATCGTAAAGAACAAAATTGTCAGACACATAGATTAACATAATTTGTTGGGAAATAGTCAATGTGGTTTTTGTAAAGGGAAATCATGCCTCACCAATCTACTAGAATTCTTTGAGGGGGTCAACAAGCATGCAGACAAAGGAGATCCAGTGGATATAGTATATTTAGATTTTCAGAAAGCCTTTGACAAGGTCCCTCACCAAAGGCTCTTAAGCAAAATAAGCAGTCATGGGAGAAGAGGGAAGGTTCTCTCATGGATTGGTAACTGTTTAAAAGGTACTTCTGGTGAGTGAGAGCCTGATCGGAGCCATGCGGTGGGGGGCGGGAGGGAAACCCAGCCGCGCTGGGCTGTTCGTGTTTAGTTTAAAGGACTCATCCCTGCTCAGAGCCTCATCGGAGCCACGCAGTGGGTGCGGGGATGTTGTGTGAAGCGATCATCCCGGAGAGCCCGCAGGCCCTCCTTTTATATGGCAAACCCACCAGGCATGGTTTGCTATGGGAAAGGGGGCCCAGCAGTTTGAAAAGGACAGTTACCTGTTCCGTAACTGGCGTTCTTCGAGATGTGTTGCTCAGGTGTATTCCACTATAGGTGTGCATACTCGCCACGTGCACCGGTGCCGGAAGTTTTTCCCTTAGCAGTATCCGTAGTGGGGGAGCACCACTGCGACCCCTGGAGTGGCGCCGAC